AGAAGAGGGCATCAGATTCCCCTGGAACTGGATGGAGTTAAGGATGGTTTGTAGCTGCCATGTGGGTGCTGGGAATTGAACCCGGGTCCTCTGCAAGAGCAGTCAGTGCTCTTAACTGCTGAGCCACCTCTCTAGCTCCCTCGAGTACAGATTTTAAATAGAGTCACTGGTACAGTTTTGGCACCTTCCATAAGAAGGTATAAGTGTGAGGTCTCAGTCCAGTCTATGCTGGCAAATTCATGCTGCTCTTGGTACAGGTGACATTCTAGAAAAGGAGTTATTGTCCAAGTATGTTGATGCAAAACTGTAATCACAACACTGGGGGGGGGGGGCTGAGACCAGCCTAGGCAACATATCAAGTCCCTGTCTAAAAAAGGTGGAGGGTTGGGCATAGTAGTGCACACCTTTAATCCCAGCACTTGGGAGGCAGAGGCAGAGTCAGGTGGATCTTTGTGAGTTTGAGGCCAGCCTGATCTACTTGGTGAGTTCTAGGCCAGCTGGGGCTGACATTGTCTCAAAAATACTCAAAAATAAGAAAGGTGGTGGGTTTCTGGGGCTGGAGAGGTGGCCAGTGATTGAGAGCTCTGGTTGCTCTTGCAGAGGACCAGGTTTGGTTCCTAGCATCCACATGGTGGCTAACAGTTGTCTGTAACTCCAGTTTCATGGTCTCTGACACCCTTTTCTGGCCTCTGCAGACACTGCACACACAAGTGCACTTACATACATGCAGCCAGAACACTCATATGCATTAAATTAAAATACATACTAAAAAAATTAAAAGGGGGATTTCTGGGGCTGGAGGGATCTCAGTGGTTAAGAGCACTGCAGCCTTTCACTGTTCCCAGCACCCATGTCAGGCGGCTCACAACCACCCTACCTATAACTTCAACTCCACGGTATCTGACAGCCTCTTCTGGCCTCCACAGGCTTATTATACACATGACTGACAGACATAGACCTAAATAGAAGCAAAAAGAAAGTCTTTTTCTTTAAAGAAAGTGTTTCTTGCTGGGTGTGGTCACACATGCCTTTCATCCCAGCACTCACAGACACTGGTGTATCTCTGAGATTCAGGCCAGCCTGATCTACATACTGAGTTCCAAGCTAGCTGGGGCTACAAGGAGACTTTGTCACAACCACCACCACCCCCACAAATGCATTTCTTTTGTAAAGGTACATGTAACCAGGGCTGGAGAGATGGCTCAGCGGTTAAGAGCACTGACTGCTCTTGCGTATCAGGGTTCCATTCCCAGCACCCACGTGGCAGCTAACAAGCATCTCTAACTCCAGTTCCGGGGCCTCTGATGCCCGCTTCTGACCTCCAGGGGCACTACAGGATACTGGTAGACATATGCAGGCAATACACTCATATACATAAAATAATAAAACATTTAAAAAAGATACATGAATTTGCCCCTAAATATGATCCAAATGTTACAGATTAGTATGTTAAATGATGACTTGGAGAAAGATAAACATACCTAATGTGTTGGATTAAAAAGTATGACTTTTTGGGCTGGCAAGATGGCTCAGCAGGTAAAAGTGCTTGCCATACAAGCAACATGAGTTAAATCTTCAGAGAACTGATTCCCAAAAGTTGTCCTCTAACCTCCACACATGAGTTGTGGCACATGCCTACAATCACACACACACACACGCAATAATTAAATTTAAAATGTAGCTTTTTACTGCCCCTAGAGGCGTTGCAGGTATGGCTGCCGTGTCACATGTGTGTCAGTAGGTGGAAGAGGGGAGAGAGGCTATGTCTACACTCAGTGTTCTGACCAGTGAACATCCGAATGATTAGTAGCCTGACAGTCCCTGAAGCCGAGCTGTGGGACCACCCTTCTCCCAGTTGGCTGGCCCAAGTTATTTGGTGCCCTTACATGTGCCCAGCAGGCAGCTGTTGCACAGAAAGGGGGTTTTTGTTAAATTGACTTGTCGAAGACCAAAACCAGTAACCTTTAAAAGGTCTGGGGGAGGGGGGCAGGGGCAGGGCACAGTAGCACATCCCTCAATCCTGGCTAAAAGAAAAAAGTAAAAGCAGTGATGACACTAAAGCCTTCCTTCCTTTCAGGCCATAAGTGGAATTGTACCTAATAATTTGCAGTGCTTAGCCAGCTATGTCCAGAATGTGAGGCAGCTGCCTCTGTGTCCCCATTAATCCAGCTAAGAGGGGCTTCCAGGGTGCTGTCCATGGTCTGGGTTTCTTAAACTGGCAGAGCTGTGGGCCAACTCTAGGGTAAAGCACTTGCCTAGCCTGTGTGAGACCCCCCCAATCTCCATCCTTAACAGTGCAACTGGCCGGCCTCTGGGGTGCAGTGGTTCACCGTTCAGCAGAGATTCCACTTTCCACTGGTTCAGTTACCTGTGGTCAGCCACAGATCAAAAATACCAAGCAGTAAAGTGTGAGGTGGGGTATTGTGCTGTCTGGCTCCGGGAGTGAGTTGTTCCTCTATCCAGCATCCCTGTGGTTTTATACTAATCAAAACAGCTGTTGCATGAGTGCAGTCCTGTGTTCAGCCCTCATGATGCTGACAATGAATATGCAAAGGAGGCATGCTAAAGTGCAAGGGAAGGTGGGTAACTGCAGCAGCCTGTGCTGTGTGCCTTGGGCTGAAGGGCCAGTCATAGCCCTGTTAAGATCCAGAAACCGGGAAGAACAAGGCCCAGCTCTACCCTGTGGCTGATCTGGACAAGTGCAGATACAGTTCCAGACCATGGGCCTCAGGGGTGTGGCCGCTGTTACCTGGCCATGGCACTGCTGAGCTGCCACATAGTTCCTTTTGGGGGGGCATGGGGGTTCCAGGCTGTCTCATCCTAGTAGCACAGGTCCTGAATTGTCAATATTATTTGGATTGACTTGTGTTTGACTAGAAGGTGTGGTAAGGCTGTGATGACCTGTGGTGGTAGTACCTGGAGATTCCAGACTGCCAACTGTATGTGGTCTTAGAAGTGATAATTACTTAAGAGGGAAAACTGGCTGTGAGTGCTGTATCAAATGACCCAGATAGCCTGTTTATTCTTTTTTTAAAAAAAGTAGCTTTTTATTAACTAGTTCAGTAAATAGTTGCTGGTGTTCTTGGGGTTGTAGTCCAGAAGAGAAGGGACCTGGTCTTTGTAGCTGGAGCTGTGTTTTCCTACCTGTAATTAAGGAAAAGCCTCTAGCTGGATTGACTTGGTCAGAGGTCTCAGGTGGTGCCCTCTGACCATTCCCTAACCCAGTCCTGTGCTTTCCAGGGTATTACGGGACATTCTGGAACGTTTGCTGTGGGAGAGTTTTGGGAAACCTGTGAGAACCAAGAATATTTTTTTCCTGGTACCAAAGTCAAAATTGAAGGTGTGTTATTCCAGCAAGCATTTATTGTTCACCACTGTGTGCAGTGCACCGTCCTCGGTGCCAGTCACGCAGTGTTAAACGCTGGATGCTGGCTTCCTGAGCAGGGCTCCTCCGTGGTAACAGGGCTCCTTGGTGCATCGTCACTGGTGAGCAGGTGTGTTGCTTAGTCCTAGGACTGCCCTGTGCCCAGCTGCTGTGAGGACTCAGTTGATTTTGTCAATTCATTCGGGCTGTGGAACTTCTTTGTATCCTTAATTTGGACATATCTTAAGGCTCTTAGAGGCTTCTTGGGAATAAGAGGGCCAGGTGTGGTCGCACTTTGAACCCCAGCACTCTGGAGGCAGTTCAAGGCCAGCCTGCTGTACACAGTGAGAAGTAGAGGCAGGCAGACCTCTACGAGTTCAAGGCCAGCCTGCTCTACACAACGAATTTCAGAGGAAGAGTTACATAGTGAGACCCTGTCTTTGAAAAAAGAAAAAAACGGCGAGATGGGCTGGGGATGTAGCTCAGGTGGTAGAGGACTTGCTTAGCATGCACAAGGCCCTGGTTCCATTCCCCCAGCACCACATGAAAACCTGGGCGTATTTGCAGATGCCCATGATCCAAGCACTCAGGAAGTGAAAGCAGGAAAATCGGAAGTTCCAGGTCAGCTTGGAGTGATGGCTCAGTGGTTAAGAGTATTTGTTGTATAACCCTGGGCACCTGAATTTTGATCCCAGTACCCACATGACAAGTCAGTTCTGGTCACACGTGCCTGTAACCCCAGCACTGAGTGGGACAGGAGAATCACTGAGGTCTGCTGGCTGCCAGCCTAGTTAAAACAAGTTCAGGGTTCAGGAAGAGACCCTGCCTCAAAGAGAAGGCAAAAAGTGATAGGGTAGGACACTGATGCTCTCGTCTGGTTCAAAGCCATCCTTGACTACATAGAGAGTTAGAGATTAGCCTGGGCTACACGAGACCCTGCCCCCCCCCAAAAAAAAAGAAAAAGATAAAGATAGCTGAAACACATGGAGGTTAATTCTGGGACAAGTTCCTAGTGGTAAATCCACCTTCCTGTTGATAGGTGCAAGCACCCTGCAACTGCAAGCAGTCTTCGTTTTGCCATTGTGGCCAGATTCTGACCACATTCCTTCTCACAGTGTAGAAAATTCCAGAAGTCATGAAGGCATCACCAGTGGCGCTGATGATTACTAATTTCAGATTGATAAAAACACAAAGAATAAAGAATTGTTTACAATTCTGAAAAATACTGAAACAACAAAAATGACCGCGTCACGTAACTGCCACCTCAGCTGCCCTCAGTTTCCACTGGGTAGGCTGTCACAGGAGCCGCTGTCACAGTCCTCTTGGCTTTGGCTGTTCGACTCAGACAGAACCAGCCGGGCAGACACCACAGCATGGCCCCTGCAGGACAGAGGCCTTGCCTGAGGCAGGGTCTCCTCACCTCTGGCCCTCAGGTAGGGCAGTGTTGGGATAAGCCCAAGAGAGAACCACTGAGCTAGGGCAGCCCTGGCAGCTGGAAACGAGGTACCGGGCCCTTCGCACCCTGGGTGGTGTCTTCTGAATCAGCACAGGTCTGAGTTCTCAGCCAGCCTCTTGAGTATGGCGTGGGCTTCTGAGAGGGCCAGCTGGGCCTGACAGCCGCTGTTCCCATCTACAGAGAGCGTACTGTGGCCAGTGCAGCGAAAGGATATGGGGCCTCTCAAGGCAGGGCTACAGGTGCATCAACTGCAGACTGCTGGTCCATAAACGCTGCCACGTCCTCGTCCCGCTGACCTGCAGGAGGCATATGGTGAGTTGGGGACCAGGGAGGGGCAGCTGGCTTCCACTGGCCAAGCTGACCTTGGTGACCCTTGGTCCTGTCTTTCCATGGGGTTGTGTACTGCCCCTACCTCCAGACAGGGGGAGCCCTGTGTACTGTAGTGACCATGGGCAGTCTGGGCAGAACTCCTCATCCTGAGTGCCAATTCCTGAGCAGTAGGACTGGAAGTGTCAGTCCCCTGGCACATGTTTTACTGAGTTTCCCACCGTGTGCTTTCCATCCAGCCTGCCTGTGGCACCTACCCTTGATAGCAGGCATCTGGCCTGGGTGCAGAATCCTCTCGAGCCCTGTCCATGAGTGCCAGGCCTGGGGCCTCCGCCCCCAGGAAGATTGGCTCATCTACATCTTGCCTGTGAGGAGGAGCAATGCCTCTGAGGTGACATACCCACACCTCTTACAAATAAGAACATGGGGCCGGGCCTGATGGCACACGCCTTTAATCCCAGCACTCGGGAGGCAGAGGCAGGCGGATCTCTGTGAGTTCAAGGCCAGCCTGGTCTACATAGTGAGTTCCAGGACAGCTGGGGCTACAGGGAGACCCTGTCTCAAAAAGACCAAAAAAATTAAAAAAATTAAAAAAAAATAAGAACATGGCACAGATCCAGGCATGGGCTGCTCACACGAGCTAGATGAACTGACCTACTATCCTTTTAGCCATGTCTGCCAAAAGCTATGAAGAGGCATGTGCCCTTTGACCATACAGGTCCACATTCACTTAAGATGAGACAAGCCCAGCGATGTGGTCTGTAAGAGCTGAGTGAGGCCCATGCCTGAATCTTCCTGGCCACCACTAGAAGCCGTCTCTGTTATGACTTCAGCTACCTGGAGCCCTTGGAATGATAAACAGGGGCCTGGCTGCCAACAAGATGTCCACAGTACATTGAGGGTTGCCAGGCATGGTGTAAAGCACCCCTTTGTCAAGTCAAGAAGTCTCTCCTCCCTTGTTAACCCTCATTCCTACTCCCAAAACACAATGGCTGTGGAGCCACCACACCTTGTACGGAGCAGTCCCCACAGCATTCTCATGAAGGTCAGCGCTGAGGCGTCCAGAGCCTGAGGTGCTGACTGAGTGGCCACCTTAGCTGTAGACTTTAGGTGACACAGTTCTCCTCTGTTCAGTCCTCTACCCTGCAGTTACTGTTTACACAGCATGGCGCACATGGTGTGGTGCCCGCGTTGTCCCTCCTGCCTTGTCACCCCAGCACCATCATTTCTTGCAGGATTCTGTCATGCCTTCCCAAGAGCCTCCAGTAGATGACAAGAACGATGGTGTGGACCTTCCTTCTGAGGAGACTGACGGAAGTAGGTGCCCCTTTCCCTGCTGTGCAGTGCCATCTGCTCAGCTCTTTCCTGGACCTTCCTCCTGACTCCCTCCTACCTGCTCTCCAGGGGTCAGTGTGGGTAACCCCTGCAGAGCACTGTGCCAGGGCCTCCCCTCCATTCCCAAAGAAATGGGTGGGGCAACTGGCCTTCCCTGGGGAGCACCAGGCAATGATCACCTCATCCCTGGGAACATGGAGCTGAGGGTCCCTTCCTCCATGCTGATTTCAGCTGCTCTGCCAAGCACTTGGTGTGTGAATGCCAGGCCAGGTGTCTCCCACATATGAGTACTGTACAGCACTGGCCTCCAGGGGAATGCTGTGGGGACTGCTCCGTACAAGGTGTGGTGGCTCCACAGCCATTGTGTTTTAGGAGTAGGAATGAGGGTTAACAAGGGAGGAGAGACTTCTTTTTAATGGTAAGACGGTTCAGAGCGATTTCAAATACCAGTTGAACCAACAGCCCAGCTCCAAACTGCCACCCTGCAGTAGGTTTCTTACGTGGTATGGTATGTAAGTCCTGTAGATGTATCTGCCCGGTATGGTGACTTTAATCCCAGCACTTGGGGGATGGAGGCAGGAGAATCTCTGTGAGTTGCTAGCCTAGGCTACATAGCAAGTTCCAGACAGCTGGGGCTACATATTAAGTCTGTGTCTGTTCTTGGGGATAAGTAGCCTGTCCCCTTCAGGGCCTTTGAAAGACAAAACAAGACTATAGAACATGAAACACTTGGTAGTCCTCACACAAGCTGTCCTCCCTGTTCACCCATCCATCATCCATCATCCATCTGTCCATCCTGTACTTCTCCCTCCATCCATCATCCCCACACGTCTAGCCATCATCTGCCTATCATCTACTTCTCCATCTTTAACCCATCCATCTACCCATCTGTTCATCATCCATCCATCCATCATCCACTTGTCAAACCCACCCACCCATATAGCCGTGAACTCATGCCCACTCCATACATGCACTCCTAAGACAAAGAATAGATTGTACACCAAAATCTTATGACTCCAGTTGGTTCCAGACTTACAATGATTCTATTTAAGATTCTTTTTTTTTTTTTTTTTGGTTTAAAGTCAAACTCTTTGTGATATTACCCTAATAGCAACCAGTCACTTATTAATTTAAAAACTGATAATAATTGCAAGTAAGCAGCTAATGTCTCCTCTCTCTCTCTCTCTCTCTCTCTCTCTCTCTCTCTCTCTCTCTCTCTCTCTCTCTCTCCC